CCCCAAAACCCCAAAACCCCAAAACCCCAAAACCCCTTTCTTTACTATGTTATTGAATCATACTACTTCATGCCAGCTATGTTTCTCAAAACAAGTGTATCAGGTCTAACTGATTAAGCTTATTTGAAATTATCAAGAAAGAAGGGGCAGATAGTAATAGAGTCAAATCCTCATTATTAATGTATACCTTGTATCTCCAGTCTCTAAATCAGATCGAGAACAACAAGTAAAAAATGTGAAAATTTTAAATTAATCCTTTTGTAGCTAGAGTATTATCCTTTGGCTCGGGCTTGCAGGTCCATCATAACCTGAAACAACTTTTCCTAACCTCGTGGGCAGAGAATGAGCATCCAAAGTACTGGATGCTGTTACTGAAGAAGGGATTTATGCCCTCAACAGATGTAAAGTCTTCTTTGAGGAAGATGTACATCACAAATTCTTCTCCTGTGCCTATATTTTCTGTTAAGTATCAAACAAGATAATATTGAGAACTAGCTATGTTCATTTATTAAGGCCAGGCTAATTTCAGTAAAATAGTAAGAGTTTACATCCCTGAGATGAGGTAAATCTTACCTTTCCATTCATACGAAGTATGTTCAAATCCCTTAACATTTTTATAGAGTTTGTTGAGGTATAAGAGGACTCCTCCAATCTTGAAGTCGTTATCTTTGAACTTCTCGTTTCAATACTTGCATGCATAGTAAATATCCTTGTCTACTTGGATTGGACTTGCGAGCTAAAATATTAATAGATATTTAAAGACCAGAATAATAGGAAAACCTAATGTTTTCGAACAGACTAAGCTCGCTTACATATTCTTTGTTCTTAGACATAAAAGCAAGGAGTTTTCTCCGATCCTTGTACTTATTTACGAGAGATTTTGTACTTCTTCCTGACTCTGCCTAACCTCCAGATCATCAGGCCAGGTTGGGTCCTGAGGAAATTAAGTGTATAGAATACATCTCTTTCAAATACGCTAAGCATTACGCCATCCGGGATCTGAGGTAGGAAAGAGTTCTCACCTGTGGACATTCTACATGGGTTAGCTTGGGGTTTAAAGAAATAAACCTGTTAAAAGCTTACTTTTCATATAACTTCTGAATGGAAACCTCGTTGCTATTCCCCATTTGTTAATAATCAAATAAATTAATTCTATAATCCTCTTTTTAAAAGGGGTTTTGGGGTTTTGGGGTTTTGGGGTTTTGGGGTTTTGGGGTTTTGGGGTTTTGGGG